GTCGATAGCTCATCAAAGAATATTACGGCGGAGCATGTCAGCTACTGTTTCGAGCCACCGTTTTTCACCCACTGGGATTAACACTGGTGTTTACAAAAATCCGGAGCCCTGAGCAAGCAGCCGCGGAATGCAATTTTATCCCGATGCTCAACGTCCTACGCCACTCGCTCATGAGCCCTATTACCCAGCGCTTACTGAGCTCGCCTACCCAAACTAAATGCCCCTATCCTATCCAGGCAAATTTGTGAAACCATCGAGGAAAAAAATCACGGAAGATAATCTCAACGATCCACGAACAAACTGCCACAGAAGTCCTCACAGGACCGTAGAATTGATATGCTTGCTTTGCCCGTCCGCCCTCTGTCTCCTTGAACAGCCACGCATCCATTGGAGGTGCGAACGAGCGTAGGCAGTTGATTGAAAGCGTGCTCCCCAACTAACTCATTGTAGCCCAATGCAGGACTGCTGATGAAATTATATGTCTCTACCCCTCTGCAAACAACAGTAATAAGCAAGTTTAGAGAGATACAGGGGGGAATCTTATTCAACCTGACGAATCCATGCGACCGAAGGGTCAACAGACGTTATATGTATCTAGGAGAGATAGCTAGCGAACGCGAGGGCTTCGCGAGCCGTCACCCAGTAACTTCGATGTTTCCGTGAGCTCAGCGCCCCTTTGGGATGCGCATAATGGATACAATGAGGGGAAAAAATGTTAGTCTACCTCATTGCGAAGTCTGTGACCAACTGCCTTTTTTGCTACCTGCAACGTTAGCTCAATGCCAGAAGTTGCCCGGGATCGAGTTGGCGCAGCACACGTCGGAACCTAGAGTTCCAACCCCGTTTCGCGTATCTCGCTGTGTTTCAGTGAGCACTAGTTAAGACCAAATGTTTCGACCCTTACACACAAACAATGGCACCCGTAAATGTCCTCCTTTCGTGGGGCCAGGGGCTCTGCAACGCGCTAAGCTGCTGATGATCCACAGCCATCACCGCAAATAACATAAACAGCTGCTTTTGGCGACCCTAGGTTTGGCCTGCATTATATGCTTGCGCTCATACCCGTTAGAAGAGCCCGCAAGCATCTTCCCGCCTGACTCTCACGAAAGCGTGCATCGAGCCTGCGTCGAATTCAGCTCAAGTGGTGGTGCAGCGCAACTCGCTGCAGCAGGTAGTACAAGCCAGCCACACGTGTGCACACAAGGAAGCTTCAGGGAAGCTCCCTTTGCTTCATGCTTTACATCTGAATACCTTTTGGAACGTTTGCATTTGCTTACACGCAACCTAGCAAGGTCACGTGAAGGCTCCTGTGCTATCTGTAGGCAGACCATGCCACATGCAGACTGTACAACAAGACTCNCTCCTAGAAGAAGAATAATAGTAATTGTTATGTCATCCGCCTGACCGCGTAGTGCCTTGGGCGCAATATCAGCCTCACAGCCTGCTTCATAGCCAGTGAGGCGGCCGAACACTCTTTACCCCGCGGTCCCTATTCCCTAGATAAACTAACTTAGTTTATTTCTAGTAAGACGTCATTTAGATAATTTCTGCAGAGTAGAGCTCTAGAGGTCTCGTCTGAGGTTCATTGTTGCGCTTGCGCCCAACACGCTGGGCACTGCAGGGCCGTACTTGTGGGGTACTTATCGTCGCCCGTCGCAAACATCCACAATATAGAAAAGGCAAAAGGAACTGATGCATGTTTGTTTATGATATTTTCCATAACACAGTGTAGTTCGCCTTGCTGGGCGTGAGAACGATTGAAAGGCCAGCCCTCATCAAGGGCGGGGGCCTCCCGCCTTCGAAGCCAAAGCAAAAATTCCCGTGTTTCTTTTGGGCACTTTACCCATGATTTGTGTATAGGCCTTCGGGCTGGGGAACCCTTTTACAGGATCTATAGAAGACTTCTGAGTCACGGGGAGTAGCTGCAATGGCTCCGACCGACGCTGTAGCAGGCGTTACCATACCCACTGGGATGTCCCTGACGGCCGAAGAGCCTACTTTCCAGACTGGCNTCGAGGGAAATGATCGTCTCCTGTCTGCTGAAGAGGGCTGGCGTATGTCGAACACGGCTTGGAAACTTCGATCATGAAGATATCATGAAAACGCGCATAGGGCATAAAGTAAGGCAATCACTGTTATTGCTATCTTAGATTCTTCCGCAGGCGCAATTAAGATGCACGGGGCTACTAGCGCGTGTCCCCTGTGATCTTGTCGATATTTTTCTCTTGTCCCCTCTATCCGTGCCTTTCGGGCGCATCTAGCCGGTTGACCCCCTAACACAGCATCCCACCCTCGCTTACTCTCAAAAGGGCCAAACGCTGCTGGCTGTACCCCCTACTTTATTGGCTTGCCTGTGGTGTACGTGCTGACGTGCATGCACAATTTTATGAATGCTGCAGTGCTGTTGCCAGTGAGCAAGCAGATAAATTCGACGCTCCTCTCCTTTGAGTTGCGTAGGTTTACGAGCGACGTCAGGGGAAGTGGTTGGTGGTGCTGCGCCCCACTCCTGATTTACACACGCTGGCCCTGCGCCACCGGACCCAAATCATAGTAAGTCTAACGGGGCAGGCCAAGCAAGCATATAGTTAATATGCTTGCTTATCACCGTAGTTGTACATGCATGCATGTATACACACCCCTATGGAGGCTCATTTACCGCCGCCTCTGAGCTGGTAGATATAAATAATATTTACTGTTGAATGGTGTGTCTATTCTTTTAGTCACTTGGGTTCATGAGCTTTGCTTCCTTCTTACCACACGTTGAGAGAACTATATAGCAGATCACCTTGAATTTGCGTGCAGTATCATGCCGATATATCGCTGATTTTGAGCCTTCTGGATGTACGCCCCGGCAAAACTATCGTTGAAGCAGGTAATGGTTTTCTGCTGCTGGTTTCGGTGGATTACCCGGTCTGCTTGCAGTGAATACTGAATTTAGTTTAGAAATTGCGTTTCACTATCTATCACTGCCCTGGCCCGTTTTGCCAGAGGCTGTATGTCACCAAGACAAGACGTGCTTGCTTCCGTCAAACAATCTCAATATGCGCATCCTTCCAGCTTGAAGCGCTGTATGCAAGTGCCTGTAGTCGAGCACTGGGCTGCGTTTGTACTCAGGAACTGGATCTGGCTCTCTCTCATATTCTTTGGCCATGGCGCTGCAATCGGAGGGTCGTTTGTTCACCTATGAGTTTCATGAGCAACGGTGGCAAGAAGCCCGGTAAGTTAGGCGTTAAGTTCACAGTTAGAATGGGCTGTATTTTCACACTGTGACAAAGCAGTGGCTGGTTCACGGTTTCCACTATGCTAA